TTTCAATTATCAACTATCTAACCCAAGTCTGAAATAAGTCAAATTTCAAGTAAGGTTTTATCCTTTTAGTATTAAAGTTAAAAGAAATGGAATTAACAGGGGTTGGGTCTAGTAAAGCCTCATAATGTGGTGAATTAATGTTTCAATCATAACTGAAAGAGGTGCCCACATTTAGATATTGCCTCAAACAGAATTGCTTTGAATAAGAAAAAACATGAGTAATTAAAAAAAGTTATAGAAAGGGAAAATCACTTCAAGGTCTCTCGTAGGGATTCTAATTACCAAGAGGTACTAAAACCCATTCTAATTACCCCTTTTTTTTATTTTTTTTAAAGCCTTCATCTGACCAGTCCCCATCACCGGTGGGACAGCTACCAGAGCGCTTGCCGAAGCTCCGATGACTGGTAATAAAATTCTTTTTGGAACGGTGGTCTTGGGGGAATTAGAATCCAAGTCTACGTTGTTCCCAAAATGTACGTGCACCACTATAAAGACAAGGTTAGTGAAATAAAATTTAGTAGTCAATGATGTATAAAACAGTGGTTATTCATGCTGAGTGACTTGTTAATGAAAAATATATACATTCAGTTGTTATTGATGTATAAGCTACTTGTTAGTCACATTGGATGACTTGTTAATGAAAAATATACACATTTAGTTGTAACTATCTTTAATGTATAAGGTACTTATTATTTAAGTTAGATGACTTGTCACAGAAAAATAAATAAATTTTTGTAAAATATTTTATTAATAATAAAATTAATTTTTTATTAAAAACAAAGAAAGAAAAAGAAGTGAATCTTCTTTTCTAATTTTCCGTCGTGCAAACAAACGACGGATCATATCATCTATGTTCGGCGGATAAGATCACCTGTTTCATTTGGTCTTACGTGGCACACTGAATCATCAACTTAGGTAGCGACTAAAATCACAATTCACAAAGTGGAAGAAAGCATGTGATGCTTACCCTTTAAAAAAAGAAAGCATTAAGTTGGAATCGGGTCCGAAGGCTTTCCTTTTAAGGAAAAAATTGACTTAGATGAATACACTTTTTGATAAAATTAGTAGGACTGAGTCATTTTTACATAGTTAAAAGCATTAGTCATATTTAATTTTTAATTTACATCTGAATAGAATGCTGACGTATATATGTGAGACGTCAGCTGTTTTTGTTAATAGAATATTCCTTTTTAATCCATGTGCTGCCAGGTACTTTACAAAAATAAAAAGTTGTCCCAGTTAAAATGTCTTGCGTAAATATGAAACAATGTTTTATTTTTACCTTTACAGAAATTTTGATTTTTTATGCATAGATTATAAATAATGTGACTTAGATTCCACGGAAGTGTGTATTTGGATTAGTGTTTGAAAAGTTAAAGATTCCACAACTAATGCTTGCAAACTGAATTTCGGGTAACTCACAGCTGTAATGTAATTTAACAGATGGAAAGTGTTTAGATTATAGAAATAAAAATATTTTAAATGTATTATAAGTGAAAAGGACATAAGTTTTATTACACACGCACAAAAATATATAATTTGATCTCTTTTTAAAAAATAAAATTATTAAAATTAAAATTAAAAGAATAAAAAATAATCAAAAAGTTATTAAAAATAATTATTTGTAATCGCTGAAAAAGACATAAGATTTATGTATTGCAAATAACATATATAATTAGATCTATTTAATACACGTATTAAATATACTAATTTTTATGAGAAAAAACAACAAGAAGCAGCTTTATTTTGTTAGGTTAAGTTGACTATATGAAATGCATGATATCATTATACTCTATTAAAAATGTCTTCAAGAGAATTACTCTAAATTATATTAAAGTTGACAATGCTCGAATATCTAACCAATTCAAATATTCATATATATATATATATATATGTATATAACCAATTATTGGATATATTATATTGTTGACCAAAATGCTGTGTTTGACAATTTTGATGAGTGTTGTCTTTAGTTTTCTTCTGCCCCTCTTCACTTCACTGAACTCAAGACTATATGTACAATCTACCCTCCTCATTGGCAATCGTACCATCATTTTGTTTAATTGCTCTCCCAAATATCCAAATTTTGTCACTTGTGGGATGATTTGACATCTCAATTTAACCTCCAAATTTCTACGAACTTGCCTTTTATCAAATTTGCAATGCATATATTCTATCTTTCTATTACTCAGGCAAAAACCATTCAATTCCAAGATCTTTCTCCATAACTCAAGTGTAGTTAATTTCTTCTCTTGACTTCATAATAAAAATTATATTATTAGCAAAAAAAATATGCATTTGAGAATTTTCTCTTATATATGCTTAGTTAAAACATCTAAAACCATGTCAAATAGCATGGACAGGGTGCTTAATGCACCATCATTTTAGCCTGTGTTCAATCACTCTATCTCACAATTTCATTGGCTCATAGATTTAATCCATATGTAGTTTTCCAATTCTCAATACCATGAGGTGCATAGGATCATGGAAACATAATGGACAAAGAAAGGAAAAATAAAAGAGAAAAAGCATGGCTGCTCTTTACAACCCATAATTGCTTCGAAGGTTAACACCGTAAGAGTAGAAATGGTAAAGTTAACGAATCTAGTGGGAGTTTCATTGTTTGAAGAGAAGACCAGGTCTGTAATGACCGGAATTTTGAGTAAAAATAAAATTTATAATAAAATGTTTTAAGAATTTATTATTATTATTATTTACTAGTATTATTATTACTATTATTATTATAAAATGGATTTAATCAAAGTTATTAGTGGCACAATGGTAACCTTGCTTGCTGAGCACTCTCAAGTTTTGGTGTTTGAATTTTATTGAGCAAAAATTTGATTTTATTTTATTTTAAATTATAAAAAAATTTTGTGTCCTTTTGTTCTAATTTTCCTTGTGTCCTTTCTTGTAATTTTTTCAATTTGTCATTAGGATCATATTTTTTCCCTTTTCCTTTTTCTTTGGAACACCATAAGTAGAGAGAGAGAGAGAGCCAGGGTTTGATTTTTTCCTTCCCTTTCTCTTCTCCATCGAGCTGCTTCTCTGATCCTTGCCATCAATTGTTTCTTCCTTGCCATCAGCCGTGTCTCCTCACCGTCGTTTCAACCTCTAGGAATGCTATAGCCACTGGATTCTTCTCCCTTGTCTTCATTCTTTGCTCTGCGTCAACAATGGTCTGTGTGTCTGTGCCATTTAGCTAGCTGGGTGTTTGTAGAAAATGCTAGCCTCATACACACATGGAACGGAAGGATGGTAATTCATGAACATTGTACTCACACTTGTTTTCGTAGGTCTTGTGCCTACGCTTGTTCCATAGCTTCTAATTGCACTTGATCATTTCATGGCTTTAAGCCGTGCTTGGTTACTTACTTTCATCAACTGTGTGTCTACTCTTGTTAGTTATTTAACCTCATAGATTTTGTGTCCATATTTGTTAATCATTCTGATAAAGTCCACTGAAATGTAAATTTTTAGAAGCCTATTGTTTCTAATTTCTTTCTCTATTAAATAAATTGGTATTTGATGGTATATGATTTTTTTAGCTTAAATCGAATATGTATCTATTTGGTTTACATATTTATAAGACTATTCACATTGCACAACATGTTATCATTATAATAATGGTTATTATTGTGAAAATCATAATTGTTTTATAAATATTTCCTCTCTTTACTGAAATTTAAATGGAGATGTTATTCATTGAAAATTTATTTTTGGTGTCAGATTCATTAGTCGACGGTGAACCTCCTCCTGACCTTTGAAGGAAGTATAATTGTGCTAAGAGGAAATTTGTTTGAAATTCTCTCCTTTCTGTTGTAATTATAAAAAAAATTGTATTTTATCTTCAAAAACTACGGTTATGTACTCCACGTATGCTATAGTTAGAGTCTTTAAATTTGGTTATATTCTTTGTTTGCTGGCTAGAAGAAGTTGGGCTCCTAATTATTATCTTATTTTGCTTAAATATTGTGTTATAGAATTTTTGGAAAGCCCTACTTATGGGGGAGACTATCAAAATTTTTATAAAAATAGTGAAGCTTGTGTTAATATAAAAACTATTAAGGATGTTATAATTTCAGTGTAAATATAATTACATTTTTAAAATAGAAACTTTTTTGATTTAAGGCTTAAGAGATATGTAATATGGTTCATACCCCATACCAATCATTCTCTATTTTCAGGGTGTGACAAGATCTATTCCTTTTCAAGCTACTTCAAGTTAAATTTTGACACAAAGAAGGATAGTTAGGATTGTATATGATTAATGACAAAAGCAAATTAATAAAATTCGTTGAGGAAACTCCTCATAGCTGTAGGAAGAACAAAAGGTAATTAAGACTATTTATAACATCATATTGGAGAGGCTGCATAGTTTCTATACGAGTCTCAGCTCTCAACAATGAATAGGGTTCATGCACTTCATATAATAACATATCTGCGAAACCAAATTTTACAATCTAAAAATGGGAGATATGGTGAAAATGGGATCATCAGAGGGCTACTTGCATGAGTACTTTGACTCGTTGACTAGTAAATCAAAGTTTTTTTTTAAAATAAACTTTTCCATATAATTATATAGTCCTAAAATTCTGTGGATACTCCTACTTTCTATCATCAGAACGAGTTAAAAAAAAGTACATCCCAAAAAACTAGCATATTAAATGAAAGAGTTCTTTACATTTATAAACTTTACTTCACTTATGAGACTCCTCTATATGTAGATTTATGACAATACTATACCGTTTTAGAGCCAATGTCCCTGGCTGCTTTACTCTACAATACTTCACTCAACCTCTTACAAATCAAGGGTAGCCCTCTTCTTGACACCAAAATACCAATGTCATATGAACACAAGTCTAGAAGGAGAATCCTTCCCAAAAGAAGAGCGTAACTTCGATGTGGAACTCATCAATAATAATGGTCCGTTCTTTTTTTGGGTCGAAAATGGTCCATTCAATAGTGAATAATTTAATGGAATTGAATTCTTCCTTTGCAAAAGTTTTCCACATGAATTTATGCTATTTCTTCAAATGGATGTGTTCGAATATATTCATCAGTATATATTAGTGATCAAATTGTTTCTATGATCCAATATACCTCTCAAGTATGTCCCGTTTTTCAAAGGGTTCCTCATGGAGCGGTGCCTCATCGCGCCGTTGTATGGTTGCAGACCCTACGATTAAGGCCAAGCTCTGCTCATGGTCGAGTGAAGAATTTCATGATGAGTATGCCCTCATTTACACTTCTCGTTCCAACCCATCACGCACTTGCATTTCTTACTATAGAGTGAATTGCGATGAGGTGCTTTTTACACTCCATGATTGCTTGTGTGAAGGAAATACCGTGAGAATAGACATGGAGATCGTGGGTCAACGATACAGTGGCCCTTTTTAGACTCGCCATGCTTCCTTTGATAGACCTTGGGGAAAATTTATAGAAAGAATAACTGAACCAGGACTGCGCCGACGATGGAGGTATCAAGATAAGTTTGGAGATAGAGAAGGATTTTTGCAGTATAATAAATTCACAGAAGATGAACTTCAGATTCAATTCTGCACAGGGCTTGATGAAGGTCCAGGTCTTGTTTATTTTATTCAAATACTATGTATACCTTCGAAAGGATTTGTGGTGGATCTTTCCGGTCCCCATTGTGAAGAAGATGAACGACCAATTGGTTTGTGTTCAGTTGAATATGCATCAGGAATTCATCCATCTGATATCTTGAAACAGGCAATGTTAGATGTCAAGAGAAAAATCCGAAGAGAAGAGGCTTGGCACAGGCAAGAAGAGTCTGTCCCCAACACTGAACGCTATTTGGAATTCAGGGAGCACTCTAGGTAGCCTCAATAACTCTACGTTGGCAGACTGTCAGATTAAGGTTAAGAGTAAAATCAAATATGTTGTAAACTGAAATGTTTAGTCTATGTGAAGAAGACAAGGAGATCAGATTATCTTATAGAACAATCCGAATGGATGTTTCTGTCTGTGTATGTATACATATGATTATCAATATATCAATGTATGCAATAAAATTTAGTGCATATTATACCATTCACTTGCCTTAAATAGTGCTATATTACCTTTTTTGATTGCATCCATTGCACGGAAAAGCCTATCTAGTTCATCTCCATTTATGGGCTTTTTATAGTCAAAATAAACAAGAAAGCAATAATAAAACATACTCTCTTTAGCCCAATTATAAGATACTTTTGAGAGAGATTCAACATTTCAAAATATAAAGTATTTTAAGATATCAAAGTTTTATCAAATAGGCTTATTTTAAGGTTATCCTTTCTCTATCTAATTTTAATTTGGTCTCTCTCTATTTTCAATATATTAATGATGAGTATTTTTTAAAATTTATAATTTTTTGAAGAAAATAAAGTTGTTAAATATAGTTAATAAAATTTTTTGGTATCTAAAATTTTATTCAAAAAAATCTTATAATTTGGAACGGAAAGAATGTTATATTACTCTCCATGGTACTAAAAGTAGGAGTAGTTGATGAGTTGGTTTTGATACTAAATGTAAGACTTTAATCTCCTTTTGTCTTTCACATTTATCATTTACTTAATTTTTTTTTAGCAAAGGTCACATTTATTATTTTAAGGAGAGGGTTAGTTTTCAATGTAAATAATTGATGTTAGTTGGCAACTCAAATTGAGGCGTATGTTCCGAGAAGGAAATAGGAGTGCTGACTGGCTAGCAAAATGCAGTGCCAAGCAGTCAAATATGTGTACTGATTGAAGATCCTCCTGCTGGGCTTTTTCAATGGATCCATCGCGATGTATCAGGGCTGAATTACCTGCGCTCAATTTCTAGTTGAATAAGATAGTTTTGGGGTTTGCCCTGTTTTTTATAAACAAAATAAAAAATAAAAAGAAGAGCATTTTTGGATAAGCCACACAGTTTTTTTTTAGAAATAATTATCTTAACTAATTTTCTTAATATATGAATTAATTATCTAATACTTACATTTGGAATCATAGGGAATGGCACCAAACATGCATGTTTGTATGCTCTGCATGCAACTGAATGACAAATACATGTTTTATGAAAATTTAATTTATTTTGATTATCCACTACCCAATTAAAATCGGTGACAAAAGCATATATGAAGAATGGTTTGATCAAAACAAGAACAACTTTATCATTTGGTGGGGGTAAAAAATTTAGACGTGCATAGGATCAAGTGTGTGATAGCAAGTTCTTTAACTAACATAAAATAATTGCAGAGGTATTTATAAAAAGTACTCCTTCCATCCCTAATCAAATATTCTCACAGAACTACCGCTTAGTTCCTTGCTTTTCGAGAGATACAATTAACAGCAGAGGGCAGAGTGAAGGCAACGTAGCTGATGCTTTAGAGTCCATCATTTAACATGCTTTGCGATATCCTCTAAACCATTTGTAAGCCACTATGAAGCTCAGAACTTGTAGAATCATATTGCACAAACAATCCTATCTGATCCAGCAATGTAATAACCTTGATAAGTAAAAAAATAATAATAATAAATAATATATATATATATATATATAGATATACACACACACACAAGTCTATTTTTATTAACGTTTGGAACAACTAAGACAAGAGGCAGTGTGGCATGGTGGGAGTCGTACAAATAATTCAAGTTCAAACATCAGATGCTAAGCCCGAATCGGGCTAAATCCAAGAGGAGTTTCATTTTGCCTTTTTCCTTTATGAAATTACCAAATTGCCCCTGCTTCAACTCTGAAATTTGTCTTCCTCTTCTCCATCGAATTTTCCAAACCACACCCCCCCGGGGGGGAAACTCCAGTTTTTTTGCCATTTCTTCATCCTCACATTTCGCTTCGCCTCTTCTCTCTAGTTTCCAGTGGTCGTCGGTGAAAATGGAGGATTGACGTTGCTGTGCAAGGCTCAAGTTCTTCGTCGTGCTCTTCTGTCTCTGGTTGTCTTCTCCGCTACTGTTATGTTCTTGCTATTCACGTGCGCGTAGCTGGTGTGCTTGAGAATCAGGTCGCCGGAGCTAGTAGGGTCATTCGCGATCTCTTTTCTGCTTGGTTTGGTGCTGTGATTTTCGTTTTCTTCCTTTCGTGTGCACCCTGTCAGATTCGTCCCCTGTGCTGTTCGTGATCTTTTCCTTCTTTCTTCTATTGTTGCTTTGGTTTGAGTTGCGTCTAGTCTCCTTCTCCTTAATGCCGTTTCGGTTCAGAGATGAGATGCAATGACCCCAGTTTTACAAAACAAAAAAAAAATTAAATAAATAATTTTTTTTCAATTAATATTTTATTAACATTAATTTTATAATAAGTGGAGGGTAGTAGTTTAATGAACTTTATGTTAATAAATTCTTAAAATCTAGAGTTTAAATTTTATTAAATAAATATTTAATTTTATTTTATTTTAAATTATAAGAAAAATTTAGGAAAAATTCTGTACCCTATCTTACAATTTTTTTATGTCTTTTCTTATAATTTTTTTGTGCTCTTTTTTATAATTTTTTCAATTATCTTTTGAATCAGATTTTTATTCTTCTCTGCGATTCGAACTTCGGAACAGAGCATCCCATTTTCTATTTTTTTTTTCCTTCTCTCCCTCCACCGCCATTTGGTCTTCACTGCCGATCCATTCTTCTGGTACCGTTGCTATTGTGTTGATTTTCAGAAAATTGAGGTGGTGTTTTGTTTACGTTGGGTATTACTTTATGTGTGTGTTTGGATAGCCCCAAAATTAGATTTTTCCAGTAAATTAGCCAAACGGTCAGAAAACGATAAAAATCAATTCTGAGCTCATGCGCACGCTTTACCGTAAGCTATTTCAATCAGAGTTTTGATAAAAGTATGTCAAAAAAGTTGGGGAAAATTACAAAGACAAGTCTAAAAAAATTAAAAAAAAACAACATAATTTAATAAAAATAAAATTAAACTCTCTTCTTTTTTCTTTTTTTCTTTAATAAAATTTAAACTTTGTATATTTAAAAAATTAATATTTAATATTTAAAAATTAAATTATATAGAAATTTATGTAGTTAAAAATTAATTTTGATTAGATTATCCAAATATCTTTAATTCTATTAAAATTAATTTTTAAAAAATAGTATTCAAACAAATTACGTTATAACATAATCAATTATGATTAAAATCTATCACTTAATCAATTATTTTTATAATCTATTATATCCAACTGAAATCCAAACGAGCCCTATATTGTTGTTGAACTGAATCTTGATTATAGAATTTTATATTTTAAACATTTGAAGGTTGGTTGATGACTGAGTTAATAATCGATGCTCTTGAGGTGTTTGTGAAAATGTTCAAGAGAAAAATTTAGTAAATAAATGCTGTTAAGTTTTCATGTTTATCTTAGAAGAATATGTGTGTAATAACTTAGAAAAAAAATTATTTAATTTAAAACTGATGGATTAGAGGTAAGTATTTTTTTTATTTAAATTTAAGGTTCCAATTTCGAATCAGTGAGAGTGGGGTTATTTTTTTATTTTTAATTATTATAAAATTATTAAAAGGTCCCTGGCACCATTAGATTTAGGAGTGTTTAAAACTGTTTTTATTTTATTTTTTGAAAACCAGTACTTTGTAAAATATGTTTTGATAACAAAAAATAAAAAAATAAAAATAAGTATTTTTCGTTTTCTCTTATTTTTTAAAATAATAATCACACGATATATAAAAATTTTTTTTTTCAGAATAATATTTTATTTTTTTATTTTTTAAAATACTTTTTAAAAACACATTATTAAATAAATTTTTTTATTCTCTTATTTTAAAAAATAAAAAACTGTCAGTTAAAACAGGTTTTCAAACTGGCCATTGATCACTCCTCCCTAGTCCAATCTCGCGTTTTACACCAAAGGAAAGAGAGAGAGAGAAAAATCCAGAAACCACCGCCTCTGTTCTTCTTTGATTTCAGCGTGTCAACAGCGTCCTTCGTCCTTTGATCGCCTCCTTCGTTCCAGATAGCCGTTGGCGAGGTTGTTCAGTTCGTCGGGAGTTTGCTGCCGCAAGGAAGTCATTGAAAGTCAGTCTACTCACTCCTTGTTTAGGCTTCATTATCAATCCCTTCTCCCTCTGCATTTTCGAATTCTCCAGAGCTTACGAGATAGTTTCCCTCTTCCTCCATCCCCTTTATCTTCGGCCATCAAGAATGCACCTGAATCTTCCTTCTCCTTCTTCTGGTTGTGCGCTGCCATTGGGGTGCTGTTGTGAGTTTCCTTCTCCATCTTCCTTGTTTCCGTCTTCCCTTCTTTGCACGCATCACTCATCGTTTATCTCCCTCTTCCTCCTTCTTCATGCAGCCAGCATTCTCTTCATCTTCGTCCGTGCTGCAGTGTGGGTGATTCAAGATCTTCTTCCCTCTTCAGTGCCATCAACTTTGTCTTCCTTTACTGTTGCATAGCTGGAAATTTTTCCCCTGTTCTGCCATGAATGTACTTGGGTTAAGGAGCTTCAACTTCTCTTCATTTCCTTACTACGTTGATGGTGAGTCAAGATGCATATCTCTTCTCCTATTTTGTGCGTGTATTTTTGTGATTTAACTGAACGTGGGTTTTTTATTTTTCCTCCTTAAATTGCAACTGTTATACATGCGTGTTAAAAGGGAGTAAATGAGGATAATCAAATCAAAGTTTCAGTTTAAGAACATGATTTTTGGTAGATACGTTTGCTCATGCTAGTTACCGGAAGAGAGGAGGAATTAAGTTTGATTTTTCATTATAGTCCACTTGATTTTCTGTTGAGGAATTGGAATTGGATATGCTGATTGAGTTGAATATCAATATTGTAATATGTGGGAGATGGGGTTGAAGGGGAAGAGGCTTCATATTAATTTGAGAATTGATGCTTTAGTCTGAGAATTGATGCACGATATGTGTTTGATAAAACATCTCTTAGGAGAAGTTTTACTTAATTTTGTATATTTTTGAAATTTCATCAATTCCTATAAGTAGCTTATTTAGTTGGGTGTTATTTTTCTGTGAACTTAAATTGAAGATGGAAAAAGAAATTTGACTATATTGGGAGTAAATGGTTATTGGGAGTAAATGGTTATT